CAAGTCTACACGCAAGTTTCATCTCAAGTCCACTTGCCTCAAATGGCCTTCCCATCTGACTCGCGCTATGACATACGACTCTCTTTGCCTTTTCTTGATGAAAACTGGGTAACTATTGCCGGACTAGTCCTTACTTTTATTATCTTTTCTACTTTGGGCTGATTTTCTTCTTGCGTGGCGTGGCTGAGTTTGTAATATAATATATATGTCCTTACTCTACAAATTCGCGTTATTTCTTGCCGGTCTCGAGACTTATCTAACAGTAACTTGAGCCTCTTTGCGGGCTGGTTACCCCTTCAAGATGTTTCCTTTCAAGTTGAACGTGCTCACTGTTCCTCAAGCAAATCTATTAGCATTACAATCTCGACTGGAGTCAACTTCAACGCCTTCCTGCCTTCACACATTTTTGGACTCGACTCTGGTCAACTTGGTGCATTCTACAAGTCTATCGACTCTATGAGGTAAGTGTTTCCGCACTCTATTTGCGCTGCTGCCGTATGTATTGACTCGATTCTTACCCGACAGTAAGTTGAACACTGTTTCGGGCGGGTTAAGATGTACCACGTTCATTAGGTAAGTCTATTGGTAGTATACCCTCGCCTTCAACGCTCCCGGCCTGTCTTGACAGACCGCATTCAACGTAGAAACTCGGACCAACGCCGTTACTGGCTCAATTTCGAGAAATGAATCAAATGTGAGGAGTGTGCATAGTACTATAGTGCTGTCTATTACGTTCCATTAATAACTTACAACAGATGCACTGTGATCTCTTCAAGCTTGCCGTTGAACGGCCCGGATTACTCGATATGTCTACCAGTACTTTCAACTTCAACTTCGACTCACTCATGTCGAGTAGGGTCACGTTGCACCGACTCGTGGACTGCTTCAATGTCAAATTTGAGAAGAAATTCGACCCCATACCTCCTCTTATCTCACTGGCTTTCATCGCATCCCTTCTCCAGATCCATGCCTGTCTCTTCAAGCATAAACCCCGCTCGGTCTATGCATGTCTCCTTTTAAAATTTGTAATATAACGTCGCCTCGCCTGTCTCCCAGATTCGCGCACCTTCTTCTCCCACCCAGCCTCTGTCCCCCGATTAAACATCGACTCGGATCGGTGCGAAGACTAAGCCTAAGCCTACATATCGCCACCGAGACAGCCAGTACGTTGCCCCTCACCATCCTGCTACTTATTTACTATGACTTACTCAACATCCTTACCTGCAACCCCCGATTACTTCGGATAGACTGAGCTCGAGGTGCATTTTATTATATATGGTATGTATGTACTCCACGCTACTCTAACTTACTCCACGGGCTTGTAGTGGAAACAGTGGGCGCGGCCTTTCCTTTGATCCGGAGTACTGAGTCCGAGTCGCCAGCTTTTTGGCCATGCCAGTGGGGCGGTGGTGAATTCAAATTCAAGTCGCCGCTGGGTGGGCTGAATTCCCTCGAACTGATCAGGTGGATCCGATTTTTTTTGAAGCTGATTTACGCTTGGGCTTCGTTTGTGATTCGACTTGAGTATTCTACGTACATGTACTAGGATGCAGCTTATGATTGTCGTCAAATGAAAGCTGTTCGGGCCCCCTATTAGCCATAAACATACTTCGGATTGACTTAGCGAGAACAAAAGCCATCCAGTGGCCCGGATGGAGCATCACAAACTTTCCATTGAGTCGGGTGGATAGCACTCAGCTAAGAAATTTACTACTTAGTACTTGAAGGTACTTGACCAATCTGCCAGTTCAGGTCACGGGACATCGGGCCGTTACGCCGATCTCTTTTGTCTTTTGCCTTTCGCTTCCACCCACCCCATCCTCGCCCGACGACTACGTCAGCACTGAATCTCGTCTGACGTTGACGTCGGCGCCCTCCCTATCCATTCCGCTTGACGACCACGTCGGCCCTCGCCAACTTCAAGTTTTCCAGGACTTGGGAATTGCCACCAGTAAGGATTTAGCGCCTATCTCGACGGCGATACTTGTTTAACTGGTAAGGGAACTGAATTATGCTCCAAGACTGATCATGCTTGCAATGAGACCCTTTATCTCTCACTATGCCACCTCGACGGATCGCACGCTAACAGACTCGCCGCCAACAACGGAGGAGGTCGTTCAGGAGCGGAGTGGGAAGAAAAGGAAGCAGTGTGGGAGGCGGCCGAGCTCAAGGCGAAACATGGCCACTCAAATGAATTTTCGGTGCGTCGTCCATTGTCCATTGCCATTTGCTTGTGGCTAATTGACCAGACAGGCATATTATGACGCTCGAGATTTGATGGGTTCCCACATTGCCACTTCGATAGCGATAACGCCGCCGGTTCGTAATCCTTGGGTAGAATAATCCCCAATGTAATCCTGGTCGTTGTACGACCCTATAATCCTACTAGTTTTTAATCCTCAATAATCCTCGAGTCTCATAATCCTCGCAGTCAATAATCCTAGATAATCCTACGGTCTCATTGTTGATAATCCTAGATAATCCTTACGAATCATTAATCCCCCGCCCGAGGTCGACAGTAATCCTGCTGTATTGAATAGATAATCCTACATTAATCCTCATTGCTAATAGTGATCATTTTAAGCATCTGCTATTAGCAATTAGGATTAGGACCTTAAAGTTTGCTATTAGCAATGAGTATTAATCGCCATCACTGATATCACTGGTCCCAGGGGTCACAATCAGCGCTGATAGCACATCTAATCGGGGCCAGAATATTGAGAGCGCCCACCTAGCGACTCGCGCACCAGATTACAAGAGCGGAAATCTTGAGATAGACCCAGACTCAACGCCCAAAGTCCGCTTCTTGGGTGTAGAAAAAACCCTAGACCACACGAGCGCCCGATCTGTCGAGGCCTGGAAGACTCGGATCAACGACTGCATTGACCTCTTCAATCGCAGTCCCCTGGCGACCCGGCTTCAGCGCAGCTATTCGATCCGACATTTTCTCAAAATTTTGAAGGGAATGCACGGAGACCATGCGTCGAGCGAAAAGAGTTCCGCCAAGGGAGTGCAAGGGCTCAAACAAGAGGCTGCTATCCAGGATCTCGGAGAGGAGGCGTTGGCCGGGAAGTCTTACATGGAGTTGGTGGATTATCTGGGCGCGTGGAACGCGAAAAAGATAGCAGATGCGGGGGGAGAAGAGGGCTGGAATGCACTGTCGCCAGCAGAGCAGACGGCAAGGGACGCGAAGCTTATGCAAGATATCGTGGCAGTCCTGGGAAAGGAAGCGTACGATGCACTCTCGCCCGCGGATCGCCGCATCTTGGACCTCTTTATTTGGGGCGGCTGTTGCATGCATAAAGACCTCAACAGTTTTAGGGGAGGAAACAACGAAGTGATGCTGGAGTGGCCAAAGTTGGGGCTCCCTGGTCCCGTTCTCCTCGCGAACAAGGCAAACTCGGCCATTCTTCGCAACCTTCTAGATCCTGCCATTGCCGTTGATGCTCCGCTCACTGAGGATCAGTTCAGAGCGTTCGAGGCCTCGACTCGCGGCGGAGTTAAAGCCTGCGCACTCGCTGGCGCTATTTTCAACAATAAAGATGACAAGAAAGGACAGGGTGACCGACATGTTGATTTTATGACTTCGAGGCTTGGGAAACAGCATCACAGATTTCCCGATACCAGCAATACTCGCTTTGGAACCTTCGGAGACGCGGCAGCAGAACTAGTGACATATCTGCCGCACTACCTCGACATCATGGACATCATCGAGTGGTCAAAAAATAATCCCTCACTCACCAACATTGAAAAAAATCTCCTTGCAGCCCTTAACGACCCATACACTTCGACAGAATTTGTCGCGATGATCATATATCGCACAGTAATCACCCACCCCTATCTGCGTCAGGTTCGGGGACCTGGAACTGAAAACACGAACCTGCTTGATCTAGGACCCCTTCACCAGTCCATCCGTGACCACCTCCAATCACTTCTGGATGATCCCGAGATTATTTTCGGGCCGGATGCCTCGTACGAGACCGCAACTCTCGATGGAAGAGAATGGAGCGATCCTGCAGCAATGCAGGCCGTATTCAAGCTCATCCCTGACCTGCCCCATGTCAAGGCTATTACCCTCGCATTTTTTCGCGGCGCTTTGACAACCTGGACCCGCTTCTCCTCCGAATTCGCTCCCGGCGGACTAATTGATGAGTGCTCGGCAACAGAGAGGCAGCTGGCATGGATGCCGTCCACGAATGATGCGAACGAGGGCGCTCTCGGTGCCTACCGCGTCGCTGTTCGGGGCAAACCATCGTTGACACTCCATCAGTACAACGCGCAAGCAATGTTCCGAAGAAATGACACACAGGATTGCCATCATGGCATTTTCAGTCCGTCGAGGAACTGCGGGGATACGGGTGGCGTTGAGGGGCTACAGGATGCGGTTCAGACATCTGTACATACGTGATAATTAATATATATGTTTTCTCCCTCTTTCATCCGTGCAGTGGCCCGAATACCTGTAATATGGCGGAAGATAAATGGCGGCACATTCTGCTCCCAGAGCACATTCTGGTGCCACAATGTGTTCTGGCATCGGCTATCTTTTTATGTTGCCAGACTTGATTCTGGCGAGCTGGCGGCCGGCTCTGGGAGTCTGGTGCCAGAGCTGCCAGACTGAAAACATTTTCCTGATGTGTCAAATTCAGAGTAAGTAGATAAGTCCGAATACTGTGGATATTGAACTGGCCAGCTGGACGTCGATTTGCTCGTCCTGTTACCGCAGATTCACTCATCCAATCAATACCTAACCGCCTGGTACAAAAGAAAAAGAAGAAAAAAGTTATCAAGTATTCAAGGCGATGGGGCATCGGGAATCGAACCCGGGTCTCTCCTTGCTCCGGATCGCCCTGAGGATGAAGATGTGTGTTCGAAACACTACGTCGGATTCAATGCGGAGTCCGACTCTATGTCTATAACCCGGATGCCGACGTTTACTTGTGTCGGGGAGGGGATGCGAGAACACGGGCACACAAAATGATTTCAGATCTCTGTCCTAGTTCAGGCGCCGGGAATCGAACCCGGTCTCTCCTCCATCCAGCTCCCTGCCAAACAGGAAGGAGTGTGTGCCATTCACCACGCCCGATCGAGATGTTGAGTTCGTACCTACACCAATTCAAGTCGCCCAATGAATGTATTGATCATGAGACAAATGTTGTCAGATGTGGGATGATGTTCAGCCAGTTCGAGCGCCGAGAAGACATCCGAGCATTTACGTAGATGACGGGGAAATCCTTGAATGGTGTGTTGCTAATTCCATCTTCGGCTTTCTCGAGAGAGAGAGAGAGATAGTTGAAAACACCAGTCTGCTTTAAGGGGAAAATTGGTTCTGAATACGGTACTGTAGACGAGAGAGAGATCCTGCTTCAAGGGGGAAATTTTGATTCTGAATATTGTACATGTGAGCAATAATGAACACTCAAAAGATCGAACAAAGCACGACGATTTCTCCGGGCCTGTCAAAGCATATTCACTCATCCAATTGTTACCCAGCCTAGTACAAATAGAAGAAGAAGAAAAAAGGTATGGAAACGTTAGGCTAATGGGGCGTCGAGAATCGAACCCGGGTCTCTCCTTGCTCCACCCTGAGGATGAAGCCTGGCGGGTTTGTTCGAAACACCACGCCCGATTCAATGCTTATACCCGGATGCCGATATTATTATTTACTGGTGTGAGCGAGACGAGAACACGGGCAAAAAAAAGATATCGGAGCTCAGGTTAGTTCGGGCGCCGGGAATCGAACCCGATTTCTCCTAGATCCAGATCTTAATACACGAATGGACACAAAGGTGGAGGAGTGTGCTCCATGCACCACGCCTGATTGGGATGTTGAGTTCGTAGCCAATATATTCATCGACTCCATTAGTGAGAAGCACTGGGGAGACGAAATCGAATTAAGCATTTGGAGTACACTGGCGGCTGCGAAGAACGCAGCCCGAGGAGGAGTGATGGTTAACGTTTATGACTAATATTGTTGCGTATTCTCCCGAGGTGGCGGCTTTGTTTGACCATCTCTTGCGCGCAACTCTGTCTCATCGGCTATCTTATCTTATTGCATTTAATTCTTATCTGAAGGCGTAGATCATTTTCCTTATCTCCGCTCTCGCCGGCAATCTGAAATCTTCCGGTCAGGCAGCTGTCTCTGGCAACGCAAGCAAAGCCAGAGTGGATTGCTATCAACTTCCTGCTGTATCGTCCGTGCCAGTCCTGCGGAACCAACCTCCTGGGCGGTACATAAATACATTCTCTAACTTGGCAGCAGCAACACGAGAAGACGCAGGTCATCTTCCCTAACGACCGGATAGCATTCACTGCGCAAACATCTGCAACATCCATGAGTCCGTCCCCCACTTCCTCCTTCGTTGCCCAGCATACCAACGTCATTTCCTGCGTGACCTCATCTGCCGTCTAGGAACCGCACGCCTCTCCCTCCGCCCCGCACGCTCCGAGCCCAAACCTGTCATGAAAATGAAAATGAAAGGATGCGAGGACAGTGAAGTATGAGCAGCGGAGGTGCGACCTGAAGACGCCAGACGAGGGCATTACACTCGCTTACAGCCTTTTGCGGAACATAGGGCACGGCGGTTTTTTTTTCCCCTTTTTGAGACATTTTCGATCTTTTCGACCATTTCCCTCGCTGCGGGCTCAATTCTCAATGTATCACTCTGAAAACTATATGAGCTGAACCGCAATGAAATTCCGCATGTCCTCTCCTGCTTCGTTTATTTTTATTCTACCTGTATAATATGTAGTATGAATTTATTACTCTTTCAAGCAGATCTCCTCCCATTAGGGGAGATGTCAATACAATGCTTCAGGCCGTGATTAAAGCAAACAAAGGTGTATTTCAGAGGTCACCTCGTCCCCATATTTGTTATTTGTGCCCTCTGCTGCCCAGACGATGCATTTAAATGTGAAGATATTAGTGTCTACTCAAGTACAATGTTTCTGCATGATATATCAACCGGTTGCTTAGATGTTTGTTCTGGGCCCCCTATGAGGTCCTTAAAATAAACCGCATAACTCAGATTCTGGGTCCATGCCCTCACGATGGAACGCGACGCACCTTACTTTGACATCAGTTACGCATAACTGCACCATGTGACTGTTACAGATGGCAAATTGGCGCGTGTCGCGTGCTAGCGCGAAGGTGTTCAATGGTAATCTGAGTCGTAGGGTCTATTATATATACCTCATAAGGGGCCCAGAACAAACCTCTTTGAAACTGGTGGATAGATCATGCAGCAACCCTGTACTTGAGTAGACACTAATATTTCACATTCAATTGCATTATTTGGGCACAAAAAACAAATATGGCGACGAGGTGACCTCTGAAATACACCTATGTTTGCTATAATTAAGACCTGGAGCACGGTATCAACATCTCCCCTTGTGGGAGGAGATCTGCTTGAAAGAGGGATAATCTTATACTACATATTATACAGGTTGAATAAAAATAAACAGAACACGAGAAGAAACACAGAATTCCAGTGCGGTTCCGACCATATAATTTCTGGAGCAAAACACTGAGAATTGAGGCCGCAGCGAGGGAAATGGACGAAAAGATCGAAAATGTCTCAAAAAGGAAAAAAAAAAAAATGCCGCGCCCTATGTTCCGCAAAGGGCTGTAAAGGCCCTCACACCATTGATGACCGGATGTTAGCAGCGTGGGCCTTGGCTCCTGAGAGTGTCCACTGTGCGGAGCTGCCCAAAGTGGTATCTCAGTGGGGGCCACGAGCACAACAGGTGCGATCTGAGGACGCAAGACAGGGGCATTGCACTCGCTTAAAGGCCATGACCGGATGTCAGCAGCTCGGGGCCTTAGCTCCCGAGAGTGTCCGCCGTGCGGAGCTGCCCAAAGTGGTATCTCGGTGGGGACCACGAGCACTTGCAATTGCGATCTGAGTGAGAAAGAGAGGGAACCCTGCCAGCGGTTGAGGGTCAAAGGCAGGAGAGACGGACGTACTTGGGAAGCCCTTCCGACCGATGCGGTGGACGAAGCAATATCGGGTGGGATGTAGAAGAATTCTACCTACAACTGCTGTACGGTGGGTCAAAAAAACCAGTCGGTGAAAGCTACCGGGCATTTATAACAGCTCCTCCTCCCATTCGCCGATGGAGCGGTTGCCTAAGACGAATCGCTATTGAATCGCTAACTCTCCAAGGAAGCATTGGTAAGGATGCCGATCGGAGCTCTCTAAGGCTCCAACCGTTTAGTTTTGGTTTACAGTTGGCTGTAAACTAAATGAAAACCCTAATAAACGGTTTAAAAACCATTTTAAACTGTTTATAAATAATAAACAGTAAAATATCTGCAAGAAATTCAATGCAAGAGGTCCGAATACTATTTACAGCCCTTTGCGGAACATAGGGCGCAGCCGTTTTCTTTCCCATTTTGGGACATTTTTTATCTTTTACACCATTTCCTTTGCTGTGGGCTCAATTATGAATGTCAATTATGAATGTATCTCTTTGAAAACTATATAGTCGGAACCGCACTGAAATTCCGCATTTCTTCTCGTGCCCCGTTTATTTTTATTCAACCTGTATAAAATGTGATATAATATTATTACCTTTTCAAGCAGATCTCCTCCTACAATCTCACTCATTCGCTGATGGAGTGAGCGCTGTGAGTGGAGGCTCGAAGGAAGCCACTCTTCCTCCCATTCACCGATGGAGCGGTCACCATACATAGTATGGCGATAGACGAATCGCCATGATCCATCAGTAGGAGGTGAGTTGTCCAAGGAAGCTGTTCTTCCTCCCTTTCGGCGATGGAGCGATCACCATACATAGTTCGCTGTCAATAGGCAGAGATACCTGTGACCGTACTATGTATGGTCATTGGTGAGGAAGGCTTCCTTCGAGCCTCTGCCCCACTCACAGCGATTGCGCTCTAGTGCTGGCATGGTCCGGTTCGGAAATCGGTCCGAACCTGAACCGAACGGGTGGTTCAGGCTCAAGGTTCGGGTTCCAGAGATTTTTCCCGAACGCGTTCGAACGCCGAACCGCAAATGGCCGAAAATAGCCTATTTAAACACAATCGAGTCATATTTTTGGGGGTTTAACAAAGGTATTGCCATCTCTACTTTCAATCATCCATACCATTCGCTCATGACCAATTCTAAGCGGGTGTCTTGATGTTTTCACGCTGTAGGTTGCGAGAGAATCATAACTCACGTGATCTGATCAAACTTTGTTCAGCAGGACCGATGATTAACCCAATATAGGTCGGATCCGGAGAATCGGCCTCAATCTGACTTTTGTCCGGACTTTTCAAATTTTTCCCACGCTTTCTGGGGCTGCAGAAATCATTTTCTCAGCAAAGCGGTCACTTTTGGTGTTTTTCCCTCGAAATTTTTGCAAAATTTTGTCCGGACTTTGGGATCCGACCTATATTAGGGTAATCATCGGTCCTTGTTCAGCTCGAGTTTGCTCAGATATATTTCTAGGTGTGCTCCAACGTGTCTTGGAATGCTTTGGCGTCAAGTTTAGATGGTAAAATACCCTTCCCAATTTCTGTGGGGACTGCACAGAGGTAGTTTGTGCGTGGGAAATGCTCCGAGGTTCAAAAAGTTCGAACGCGTTCGAACGCCAAACCTGAACTGAACCGAACCTTGCCAGCACTATTGCGCTCACTCCATCGGCGAATGAGTGGGAAGAGAGGCTTCGAGAATTACACCCCTGTCCCACCGATAGCGATTCCGAGTCGTCTGTCACCGTACTATGTATGGTGATCGCTCCATCGGCGAAGAGCGGCTGGTTTCGAGAGAAGCCAACCTAAGATACCATCTGATCGCATTGTGTCCTCCAGATTCACGTAGGCCATTATTCGGCGGTGAGTGGTGTGCACTGGAAGGACCGATCTCGTCATCCGTGTCAAGCACGGCGCTAAAAGCTGTCGAGCTAATTTACAGTGGCCGCATATGACCCTGGAGGTCCGATGTGCTGTGAAGCAGGGATGTAAGACTCGAACCATTCAGATCATGCTGGAACGTCCCTGGCGACCCCCGACGGCGAGATTGAGCAACTTATCGTAATGGCAGATGAAGCGCCAACAAGATCTTAGCTCTCGACACGCCTGGG